AGAACTGCTGCAGCCGGTGCCGTTAGGAAACTGACCCATCCATCCCCCCAAGAGCCGGCCAGCAGGGCCCAGCACTTGGGGATGGCGGAGTAGGAGCTGTTTAAAATATCAGCTCCCATGTGTCACCAGCGCATTGGAAAATCCGTCCCCAACCTCTCCTCTCCACTGGGCTCTTGTTCCAGTGGGATCAGATGATCAAGCAGGGCCAGAGGGAGCCTGAACCGCCCCGCACAGATCCACGGGTGGGTCTGAGCTAGGAGTGGGAGTGAGGCTGTGGACTAGGGTCTGCCCTGCAGCCAGAGGTGCGGCTGCAGCACGTCTGGACACAGCCAAGCTGGCTTTGGTCTAACTCCAGAACCAGAGAGCAGTGACGCTGCGGCAGCATGGACTGTTCACGCCTGCCTGGGACTTGAATGGCTCGCCCTGCCCCTACTGCCACGCCTGCCTTGCTACTGCTAGCAAGAGCAGAGCCAGCTCGGGGATGTCTGGACCTGCTGGGTGCACCTCTGACTGCAGGGCAGACGCACCCCATGGTTATAACATTTGCACTAATAGACGTGGGCGGGATACCTGCACTCACATGCTAGATGAGCTGCTGGCTCGGGCACGGCATTCATGTCTAGGGGGGTGGGGTGGCCTCCTGGGGAAAGCCTTGGCCAGCTGGGTACCGTGGTGGCCAGGTGGAGGGTGCTACCCCGTGATGCTGCCCGTCTCACTCTCATTTGCGCTCTGACCCCAGGGCACATTAACCTCTCACTGTGTTGCAAGCAGCTGGGAGAATTGCACCCAGTGCCAAGAGATAAGGGCAGGAGGCATGCAGCCAGCCCGATCCCGGTGCAGAGCTGGGAGAGATTCCAGGAGGCCAAGCATGTCCCTTTTGTCTGCACCCAGCCTGCAGGTCTCTGGGATCCAGGTTGTGCTGCCCAGAGCCAGGCCTGAGAGACTTCAGCTGCAGGTCCCAGTGATGCCGCCCCTTGGAGCTGCCCTGGTGCCAGTGTGACCCCCACACCAGGAGCAGAGCAGTACCCTACTCATTGCCACCGCATGCTCAGCCAGAAGGTTTGGATAAAAGTGTCAGACACACGGGGCCTGATTCTCCCCTATGGACACCTGGAGGACTCCAGGGACTCCTGATTTACTCCACCAGGAGGTGCTGGAAACCACTGCCAGTGTAATTGCCATGAGGCCCCAGCTGCCCACAGCCCCATCTAGTGCTCCTTGCCCCCCTGAGACCAGCCCAGCTTATGAAGCCCATGGAGCCGTCAGGCTAGAAGCAGAGTTTGGCATTTAAGGATAGAACAGTGACCCTCCCGCCCTTGCCTGTAGTCAAGCGCACGGCGTAGCCAGCTTGTGTCACTTCACATGGCTTGGCAGAGGGGCTAGGATTGCCAGGTGTCCGGTTTTCAACCAGAACGCCCAGTCAAAAAGGGACTGTACAAACACAGAACAATGGGGTTCTGGCCCATGGCTGGGACTCTTAGGGGCTACCACACTACAAATAATAAATAATAAGCATACTGCAGTGATGGGCACTATAGAAAACCCTTAGGTAGTGAGATAAGCAGAACTTAATACCCCGTCTAGTGGCTAGATCATGCATAGAGGTTTGTGGGTCTGCTGCCTGATGTTTTAGCAGAAGCATGTTTGACCCAGAGGCCCCACGTTCAGCCCTCCTGGGTGACTCCTCCAGCAGTGGCTTTACACGAATCGTTAATTACCATAGATAGCTAGGACTGGGGTTTAGCTCCCCTCTGCACCCTCCAACAGCAGCGTTGGCCCAGGACTGACGCGGGACGAGCATTACAGCCCAGCTGTTCCTTGCAGCTCTTTCAGCTACTGCCCCAGCCAAACGCTACTTCACTTGCAAGGACTAACAGGCTCACAGCAGGGGGCTGCGTGGCTGCATCTTCACCTGTGGCATGTGAGTGAAGGGCAGGAAACAATGCCTGCTCATACAACCTGAGCCCACTGCCCACGGGCATTACAAGCATAGAGCCAAGCTAAGGCCCCATTCTGCAATCAGATCCCTCACCAATGGGGCAACTGCAGTGTAGAGCAAATGAGCAGATTTGCACTGGACCCAGAAGCCCTGTCAGACCTCAGCATTAGCCCAGGGCAAATCAGCACATAGAGGAACACCGGGCTTTGACAAATCCTGGAGCGTGAAATATGGATCTGAACAATAACCATCTGATCAGACTCCTTCAGAACAAGGGGACGGCTTCCTAGGTTTAACGCCAGAGCACCACCTGTTGGGCAAAAGATATCACTGCAGCCCTAGTTTGTTTTATAAGAGCAGGAGACATCCTTAAAAAAATTAAACCTGTGGGTAGGTCCTTTAAAATCACAATAAATCACCCACATTTAAAGATCCAGGTGCAGTTTGTTTTAAATTGCTATTCTGGAGGAAATGTGATGGGCTCCAGCTTCCCCGGCTCCTTTGTCCAAGACCCTCTGACCGTCCCTATGGGACAGCGGCAGATCGCAAGGCAGGACTTCAAGTCCCCCAGCGACCCGTGTGTTCATGGGCAGGAAGAGGGACACCTCAGTGTTTCACCTACTAGTGTTTCCCTCCAGGTCAACCGTGGGATGAGTGGTGGGCAGGTGCTCAGCCCAGTTCCTAACAGGCCGGTGACCATGTCACAAAATAGTCTCACCACAGCTGGCACTAACTGGCCCCTTCAGCTGAGGTGCCGAGGGCCAGATGGGCCATGGAGACCGAACAGCTCTCTCACCTTGAAAGGGGTCTCCCGTAGAGCAAGGTCAACATGTGTTGGCAGGGGCTGTGGGCGAAGCTGGCCCTGCCACTGCCCATGCAGTACCCCTTCCCTAGGGCGAGACAGCTGCCCTCCAAGGCTGTCATGCTTTCATGGCATAGTTTTCATTGGACCTAAATTCATTATAAAATTTAAATGATAGCCCCATCCCCACCACTGGCCATAAAAAGGGCTGGGGCTGTGCCGTTTGCTTCCTAAAGACACTTCTGGAACGCTGATGGGCGCATCAGCAGCCTTCCCCAGGGGGCTGCCTTGTCATTACTCAACAGGCTGGCTCAGGTGCCGGGATTCATTTCTCGGAGTGCTAGGTCTGTCTGTCTTCTCCTGTCTGCAGGGCACACGTTGTTGGGCCTCTCCTACAAGCACCGTGCATGCCATCAACAAAGAACAATCCGAGGGATCTGCACAGCGCCTGGCCAGGGTGCTCTCTGAATCAGTGACCGAAGATACAACGCTGGGTTTGGTTCTGGAGAAGTGGCCAGACTCTGTAAAACTGGGCTGGGACCACGTCCCTTGGGTGCCTCAGCACTGCCGGCTCCAAGCAATGAGGAATGATGGACGGTACCTGGGTTCATTCATGCTGTTCCAGGGGGAGGTTTGCTGGGCTCTCATCTTCCCAGCCCTAATGACTCCTGGCAGCACCTTGCATTGCCCCACCCCACCCAGAGCACCCAGAACAGGAAATAAGGGCCCAATGCTGAAAACTCTCTATTCCCATTCATCTCATTAGGATTTGAAGCACTTAGGCCCCAGTCCTTAAAGGTACATAGGTGCCTCAGTCCCAGTTTGGGGCCCACTGTGATCCACAACATTGCCACTGAACCCTGCAGGCTCCTAAACTCACTTGCCCCCCTAAGTTTTCAGGGTAAAAGTTCCCACGGCATCTATGTTTTTGCCTCTGGCCATGTGCATGGCTCCCTCCCTCCAGGCATCTGGATGCCCACCTGAGCCCCAGAGCAATCCATGAACTGGAGGGAAGATCAGGGCTCACCCACCTAAGTAGGGTTGCCAGGTGTCCGGTTTTTTACCAGAATGCCCGGTCGAAAAGGGACCCTGGCGGCCCCGTTAAAAGTCCAGTTGGTGGCGCAGCGGGACTAAGGCAGGCTCCCCGCCTGCCATGGCATTGTGCAGCTCCCAGAAACAGTGGCATGTTCTACCTCCGGCTCCTATGCACAGGGGCAGCCAGGGGGCTCTGCACACTGTCCCCACCCTAAGCGCCAGCTCTGCAGTTCCCATTGGCTGGGAACCATGGCCAACAGGAGCTATGGGGGTGATGCCTGCAGACAGGGCAGCACGCAGAGCCACCACCATGCCTCCGCATAGGAGCCAGATGGAGGACATGTCGCTGCTTCCAGGAGATGCCTGAGGTAAGCACTGCCCAGAGCCTACACTCCTGACCCCCACCGGCCCACCCCCTGCCCCAGCCCTGATGCCCCTCCTGCTCTCCGAACCCCTGAGTCCCAGCCCGGAGCACCCTCCTACAACCCCAAACCCCTCATCCCCATCCCCACCCCAGAGTCTACAACCCAGCCACAGCCCAACCCTGCCCCGCACACCGCAACTCCCTGCCCCAACCCAGAGCCCCCTCCCACACTATGAACCCTTTGGCCCCCCTAGAGCCCCCTCTTGCACCCCAAATCCCTCATCCCTGGCCCCACACCAGAGCCTGCACCCCAAGTCAGAGCCCTCACCCCATGCTCTCCCCCACCCCCCACCCCCCAACCCCCTGCCCCAGCCTGGTGAAAATGAGCAAGTAAGTGAGGGTGGGGAGAGCAACCGATGGAGGGAGGAGGGATGGAGTGAGCAGGGGCGGGGCCTCGGAGAAGAGGTGGGGTGGGGTGCGGGGAAAGGGTGTTTGGTTTTGTGCAAATAGAAAGTTGGCAACCCTATAAGTCACGTGCAGGGCCTGACCCAGGAGGGGTGCTCGGAGGCCACCTACCAGATTGGTCTGTGATGGGGTGTACTGGGCCCTTTGAGGCCCCCTGCTGGAGTCCTCACGGTCCTACCACAGACCACCCCAGAAAAGGAGCAGTAAAGGTGGGTCCTCCAGGCCTGCCTAGAAAGGCTGCAGGGAAGCAGCCAATCAGAGCCCAGCAGGCTCAGTTAAAAAGGAGCAGAGAGAGAGCGCAGGTTCGTACCCACCTGATAGGAGGCGCTCACAAGGGCTGTGTCCCCTATCACAGGGTCCCTTTGGAATCTGAGCCCTGCTGCGGGAGGCTGTGCCCAGGTGGTCACTGGTAGCCCAGTGGTGAGGGCCCTCACCTGGGATGTGGGAGACCCAGGTTCTGTCCCCTTTCCACCTGAGGGGAAATAAAGGATTTGAACAGGGCTCTGGGATAGTCTGATGTGGGGCTCTGATAGTTTCTCCTGTTGAAGCTGGTGCAGGGGAGTGGACCCAGGGGCTCTGACCTCCCAGCTGGGTGCCCAAACCAGATGACTATACGGCGTCCCTTTGTGGATCTAGGCCTTGAAGGCTCTTACGCTCAGCAGTTTTGAGGCCCGCTCCATGTCCCTGGGAGGTTCTTGGGACTTTGTCATCTTTCGAGTGGTTCTGTGCTGGCATTTGGTTCTGGGAATCTCACTCCAGAAAGACGTTAACAAGCTGGAGGCAATTCAGTGAAGAGCAAAAAAAACCAAACAAACGATGCAGGAGTTGGAGAGATGGATTTAAGAGGAAATCTTAGACAAGCTAAAGATCCATTGCTCACCTAAGCAACTGCTAGGGAGGCCTGGGGCTTACAACTCTGCAAAGTGTAAGCAGCAGGGAGGGAGAGGAATTATTTAGAAGGTAACTAGATGCCCAGGATGGATTGAAAGGGAGGGGAGCTTAGGGTGAATATGAGACAAGCCTTCCCAAAGGGTGAGATCTCTGAGGATGTGGAACTGTGTACCCAAGGGAAGCTGCAGAAGCCCCATCACTTAGGACATTTAAAATTGGCCTGGAAAGAGCCTTTGGAAATGCCCCCCTCAGGGATGGATCCTGAGGGGGGCATTGCAGGCCTGCAATGGCACTGGGAGACAGGCTGGAGGCTCTGAGAGGCATTTCCCAGCAATAGCTTCCAGGAGATGATGCCAATTTACCCCGGATGATTTATTTCGTAGCATTTCCTCTTATTTTTTCCCAGCTAAATGAGCTGGCTCAGCAGCCGTGGGCTCACTCCCTTTTCCCCGTCGCTCTGTGTGACACCGAGCAGTCGGGCGGGGGCCTGTCCCCCCAGCGCTGTGCTGCGGTATGCAGTCACTCTCAGAGTGCACGCACCCGCTGTGGGTGGGCTTGGCATGCTCCCCAGGGGGTTACAGACGTGCAGCTTTTCAGACATGCTCAGCTCCCCTTTAGGCACCGAAATGAGACTCAAGGGAGCAGAAGGGGCAGGAATGGGGCTGGGAAGCCCGCTCCCAGGCGGTGACACATGCTGTGGGGCTGAGGCCTGGTAAGAATTGCACCAACAGTGCTGGTTTCCCTCCTGTGCCGTTGTGCCAGGTAACGGGGGGTAGGCCTGCTGAGCCCCAGCTCTCTGGCCTCCCCCACTCCAGTACATTTGGAATGCTGCACCTGTGATAACCATCCTGGCTCCTCGCCATATGGCTCCTCCACTTTAAGTCTTTTCATTAGCTCACCTGCTTCCACCAAATCAGCCACAAGCGGAGGGGGAGATGGGAATGGACCTCCTCTGCACCCGCCCCATGCACGACTCTACTCACCTGCTCATGCCTCCTCATGGCAGAAACCTGCTCCTATTCCCCCAAATGCGGGGGGCCTCCACCTCCCTGCCCACAGTCTGTCTCCCCACAAGCACAGGGAGCCTGCTCCAGCAGCAGGCGGCTCTCACAAATTCACTGGGCTTAGCTGGAGAACTGCGCCCATTGTGATCCATGGGGAGGGGTGGCTGGGTGGAAGGTCTCAGGGAACAGCAGGGACAGGATGTCATTTGGGCAGCAGCAGGGTGTGGAAGACAAGCTAGAAAACCAACCAAATGCGCATCTGCTACTTGTCATTTTAAACTCCCCTGCCAGTGTCAAATCTGATCCGAAGTGTCTGGCCCAAGGTCACACACTGAGCTGGGACCTGAACCCCAATCTCCTGAGCCCCAGTGCTGTGCCTTCACCCCAGAACCAGATCTGGGACATCCACCCTTTGTAAACCTCATCACAATTCACAATTCAAGACAAAATTCACTCCGCCCTCGGTAGACTGCCATGAGAACAAACATCTGAATCCTCTGGACGTTAAAACAATGCAAAGCACAGCCCCTACCAGAGCCCTGCACAGCCCCACTGCTAACTACACGTGGCCAAGGGAGTCCGCATGAGAGCCATCTACAGCCATTTGTACTCTAACCAAATTCTGCACACCACCTGGAGTTCACGATGCGTAGTATATCCTATGCCTTTTGTATAGATGAGCTATGAAAGCATACCTATAGTCCTGGGGCACAGTGCCCTGTTCCCGGATAGTCTTGAAAAGGCTGGTGAGTTTCCTGACCAGGTGGGCACCTCCACACTTGTACAGTTCAGATGGAATGCTCTCAGGGCCTGGAGACTTGCCCATGGACAGCATCTTGATGGCCTCTAGTAATCTCGTCTAAAGAAGGAGTGAGGGACAGCTCCTCCAGGACAGGATGCTGCAGGAAGTGAGTCAATAGCTTCATTGGACATAGGCATTGACAGTTCAGAAGACTATCAAAGTGTTCTGCCCAGTGAGAGAGAATATCACCATCCCCTGTGAGCAGCCCGTTACTGTCTGCTGTGAGGACAGGGGCTGTACCACTGGATTTTGGGCCATACACAGCATGGAGACCTTCTTAAAGGCCTTCATAGAATCATAGAATATCAGGGTTGGAAGGGACCCCTGAAGGTCATCTAGTCCAACCCCCTGCTCAAAGCAGGACCAATTCCCAGTTAAATCATCCCAGCCAGGGCTTTGTCAAGCCTGACCTTAAAAACCTCTAAGGAAGGAGATTCTACCACCTCCCTAGGTAACGTATTCCAGTGTTTCACCACCCTCTTAGTGAAAAAGTTTTTCCTAATATCCAATCTAAACCTCCCCCACTGCAACTTGAGACCATTACTCCTCGTTCTGTCATCTGCTACCATTGAGAACAGTCTAGAGCCATCCTCTTTGGAACCCCCTTTCAGGTAGTTGAAAGCAGCTATCAAATCCCCCCTCATTCTTCTCTTCTGCAGGCTAAACAATCCCAGCTCCCTCAGCCTCTCCTCATAACTCATGTGTTCTAGACCCCTAATCATTTTTGTTGCCCTTCGCTGGACTCTCTCCAATTTATCCACATCCTTCTTGTAGTGTGGGGCCCAAAACTGGACACAGTACTGCAGATGAGGCCTCACCAATGTCGAATAGAGGGGAACGATCACGTCCCTCAACCTGCTCGCTATGCCCCTACTTATACATCCCCAAATGCCATTGGCCTTCCTGGCAACAAGGGCACACTGCTGACTCATATCCAGCTTCTCGTCCACTGTCACCCCTAGGTCCTTTTCCGCAGAACTGCTGCCTAGCCATTCGGTCCCTAGTCTGTAGCGGTGCATTGGATTCTTCCGTCCTAAGTGCAGGACCCTGCACTTATCCTTATTGAACCTCATCAGATTTCTTTTGGCCCAATCCTCCAATTTGTCTAGGTCCTTCTGTATCCTATCCCTCCCCTCCAGCGTATCTACCACTCCTCCCAGTTTAGTATCATCCGCAAATTTGCTGAGAATGCAATCCACACCATCCTCCAGATCATTTATGAAGATATTGAACAAAACCGGCCCCAGGACCGACCCCTGGGGCACTCCACTTGACACCGGCTGCCAACTAGACATGGAGCCATTGATCACTACCCGTTGAGCCCGACACTCTAGCCAGCTTTCTACCCACCTTATAGTGCATTCATCCAGCCAATACTTCCTTAACTTGCTGACAAGAATACTGTGGGAGACCGTGTCAAAAGCTTTGCTAAAGTCAAGAAACAATACATCCACTGCTTTCCCTTCATCCACAGAACCAGTAATCTCATCATAAAAGGCAATTAGATTAGTCAGGCATGACCTTCCCTTGGTGAATCCATGCTGGCTGTTCCTGATCACTTTCCTCTCATACAAGTGCTTCAGGATTGATTCTTTGAGGACCTGCTCCATGATTTTTCCAGGGACTGAGGTGAGACTGACTGGCCTGTAGTTCCCTGGATCCTCCTTCTTCCCTTTTTTAAAGATTGGCACTACATTAGCCTTTTTCCAGTCATCCGGGACTTCCCCCGTTCGCCATGAGTTTTCAAAGATAATGGCCAATGGCTCTGCAATCACAGCCGCCAATTCCGTCGTGCTTGTCAGCTGCTCCCTGCAGTTTTTCAGCCTTCTGCTCCCACCAGTGTTTCTTCATTAGCCTTAATCTGGTTTGTAGTGTATGTTTGGCCTGATGGTACCTGGCCTTCTTCATTGCTGATTTCTTGTCCAAGATGTAGAACTTGTGTTTGGTGTGCATGGTCTTCAGTAGCCAGTCTATCTTACGGTCATTCTCATCGAACCAGTCTTGGTGTTGCCACCTTACAAAGCCAAGAACCTTGGATGCTGTATTATATGTGACATCTCTGAGCTTCTACCAGGTTGCCTCAATATCTGTGGGGTTCTTTGGGACCTCAGCTAATGCAGTCTCCAGTGTCTGTTCCAACTTTGTTTGCTGGGGTCTTTCATGGAAACCACATTGATCATCTTTGGGGGTTTGAAATGACATCTGGGGCGCTTTGGTGCAAAGTGTAGTAACATGATACATCTCACTATCCGATGGTCTGACCAGCATTTGGCACCTCTCAAAGAGTGGGTGTTGTACACATCTTTAATGTCTTTAGACTGTACTGTAACCCTAAGCGTCGACAGCATGCTCATCAGGGCTCAACTTCGCTGGGTCGGACACGTGGTCCGCCTGGAGGTTTCCTGTATGCCAAAAGCAGTGCTCTCCAGCCAGCTGAGCACAGGAGCCCGCTCTAAGGGTCGACCCATCCTCAGATATAAAGACACCTTGAAATCCAACTCAAAGCATGCACGATAGACATTAAAACCTGGGAACTTGTTGCCCTGGACAGACCCAGAAGGAGAGGTCTGTGCCCACTTTTGAGGAGCTGCATGTGAAGTCTCTGCGGGAAGAGAGCATGTCATAAGGTCAGTGCTCCATCCTCCCCCCAGCAATGACTACACTTGCAAGACCCCAGATCGGACTCGCTTCCCGCGTGAGAAGCGATAAGAACAAACCCAGAACTGAAGTCAGCATCATCTGAACACTCATCCATCATCGTGTATCCTGTGCCATGCCTTGTGTGGCCGCCATTGCAGTTGACATCAGCCCAACCTCCCTTGGCCTCCCCGCACCCCATTAATCACTTCCTTTAAATCCAGGCATGCTTGTTGTCTGCGATACACTCTGAGCTGACAGACAGATCTCGTTGCTGCTTTTGGTGACACGGCTACGGGTGCACTACGTTATAGCACCCACCTCAGTTTAACAGAGCCCAGCAGGAGACCCAGCGGAATCTCATATTACACGCGCAACTTTACCAGAGGGTTGCAGATGTCTTTACTTATGTAGGCCACGCTGTACACCCAGCTGGGCCCTCACCCATATGATGGCCAGGCCCTTTGCTCCGTACTCTGGTCAGTACCCAATTGATTCAGGTGAAAACCAGAAAAGGCTGCCCCTCCCCCAAGCCTCTGTGAGGTCACTGTCTCACCCCTGTATCTTGATGAAATTGGCACTTGGTGGGCCTGGTTCTAGTGGAAACAAGGCTTTTTGGAGTTTCAGATTGTCACCAAAATGCGGAGAAATGCCGTCGAGTTGAGTGTATGTCCTCACCCCATGCTCTGCATGGCCAGTTGTGTGAACTCTGGCTATTCTTGATAGCCATATAAATGTCCAATCCCTTTTTTAATGGCTCTCCCCAAATGAGCTATCTGCTTCTCTCGCTAATATCACATCCTTATCCCCTCCCCTGCTGATCGTCTGCTAACTCTTTCCAACAGTGAGCACAGATGTGTTGCAGCCCTGGAGATCTTCACCCCAGAATCCTCCCACCTTGCAACACCTCCCCCTACACAAACGTACACACCCTGCAGGCAGTTTAGCTCCCTATGCACCTCACAGGCCCCTTTGCAAACCAGAGAGAGGGATTTAGTTTGGAAAGTCCCGCTGTCTCCTGGACAGCCCTCCCCCCGTGGCTACACCCCTGCAACCAAAGAGCCATACGCTGCATAGGGATGCACAGGAAAATACTCACAATTTATTACCCAAACAAGTCCCCAGGTGGGAGCAGCTCAGGACTCTCCCAGAGATGCACACTGCTCCCTTAAAAAAAGAACCCCTGTGTTCACTGCACTCCCAGCCCCATCTCAATTCCTGACAGCCACCAAGTCAAAACCAAGGCTATCTGACAGTTTGGGCGCTGGGGGCATGTGCCCATCTGAAATTTTCCTTGGGAAGTCCCAGTCCTCAGACCTTCCTCCCAGCCCCAATCCCTGGTCCCAAGTGTCCACCACAAACCAGTCTCCACATTCGCTCTGTTCCCAGCTGTGCTCAGATGCTCCAGGAAGCAGCATGTACACACTATACATATCCAACACACACCCACACAGACACATTACACAGACATTAAATCCAGGATACCTCTTGTTTACATGTTAGGAATGATGCTAAATCCAGTATCCTTGTACAAGCATTATTTAGCCGTGGGGGGTCAGAGTCTGGTCTCATTTCCACTGGTGTAAAATTGGAATAACTCCATTCACTGAAATGGATTTACTACAGATTTATCCTGGTAGTCACTGAGACCAGAATCTAGGCCTGAGCCTTCCAGAAATAAATGGGCAGACGGATGTTTTGCAAATTCAGCACAGGATCAGTGCTTAGAAAAATCAGATTGGTCCTGAAACCATTTATATTGGTCCCATCCACAAAGCACGTTTGTGACGGTCATTCCAGGGTGATTTTAGCAGCTGGTATTTCAAGATAGAGGTTGATGTTTTATCCCCTTTGAAATCTGAGATTCCCAACCTTCCACTCAAGAGGACAGGCAGCATCAGTTTCTGTCTCAAGTAGTTCTTGAGATGGCAGCTACCAAAACACACTGGAATGCAAGCGTGGGGGGAGCAAGATGGTAATCGGCGTGGTGTGATTTTAAAAGATCTGACAAAATGACCTTTGATGATTATAAATTAGTGCTTTATACCCCTGGAAAGCTGAGAATACCAGCTTTTTTAATGGCAGGAAGTTTGTCCCCTAGGTAGTTTGTGAGAAATGAATTTCTTAAGTCTATGTCAAGCCTTTAGGAGTTGTTATGTGTATCAATGGAGCTGTAGGTTTTTTTTTAAATGCCCAACACAGGGTGTAGCAAGTACCTTGGACCAGCGATATATTCATTCCCGTCAATAACCAGGGTTGGGTTGTATCTTTGGGTACATGTGATCTTTTTGTATAGGGCTTTGAGGTCCTCAGATGGAAGGTGCTGGGGAATGGCAAAGGGCTGGTATTACTGTGCAGCACAAAGTCCTTCCAGGTTTATTAGAAGCATCTTGTTCCTTGCGACACCGATGTGTTTCTGCATTGCAGCTGTATTATGATGACCCCAGTCCTGCCTGGGCACTGAGAGCTACCCTGATCCCGCAGCTGGGAGACCAGAGCCCCTGCATGGCTCCGTCCTCTCCCAGAAGGAACTTCCCAGTGCCAAGGCAGGAGCTGCAGCTCCAGAAACACCACGTTGGAGACCTGACCTTAGAGTGGCATTTGGGGAAGGAGTGCTCTTCACATCAGTTTGCTGGCTCTGGGAGCCCAGGAGGGTCAATAAGAAACCTGGGCAGCAGTTCTGCATTCTCAGAGACTGGGGGCAGCCTTAGACTCCTGCGTCTTTGCACTGGCAGAAGGTGAAAGGCCAGCAAAAGTGATGCGCCCAGCCCCCAGGGAAAGGACAACAAAATCCACACGGGCCTCTGTAGTTCCCTGAGCACCCAAACCAGAGACCATGGCTGGAGGCACCGTGGAGGGGCTGGCAGCACAGAGTGCCCACTTGAACGAGGAGTTAGGGAACCCAGGGACACAAGTGGGAGGGGGAGGCCTGAATCTAAACTAATTCCCTCCCCAGAGGGAATCATTGCAGAGTCCTCCCATGCCTATGGCTATTCTCCTGGCTCCTGTGTGCCCAAGGCTGGACGCGAGGCCAGTGGCAGTGAGTCCTGTTGGATTCATAGTGCTCGTCTCCCGCGAGCCAGGTGGCCACAGTGAGTGCTGGGGGGAAACCTAGCATGAGCTCTCATGCAGCCTGGGGCATGGCACATTGCACATCTGATCTTCAGGGCTCGGAGTGTCTCCGTTGTGTCTGCAAAGTGCCCAGCCCAGTGGGGCCTGGGTCCGTGACGGGGGCTCCTAGGCACTGCTGCAATTCAAACAACAGGAACAGTAAGAGAGAGGCCATGTCGAGCAGAACACCAGGGTTCTCTGTCCTAGAGCTCCCCTCTGGGGGGACCATTGCAGGAGGGCAGGAGGGACCCCTCTATCAATCCAGAACCCTGCCCCGTGTGGCCACGGCAGCATAAGGTGCCACAGTATATCTGAGCCAAACCACTAGGTTTCTTTTATATTTTCCTCCTCGCGGGGGCAGGGAGGATCCAGGCACGGTGGGAGGGGCTGGGGGTGGGGGTGTCCCTCTACACCCGTAGTGAAAAGCAAACATTAAATGCCCCCCAAAACCTGAGTAGCGCCTGGTACCACCTGCGGCTGGTTCCCTGCCATCCCCGCCGGTAAGGGATGGGAACTTGGGGCTACAGCTCTCCCTGTGTAACGCACCGGTCTCCCTGCAGAGGGCCGAGTGCTGCCGGTTAGACAGAGCCTGTGTTTAGGCCGCAAAATCCTCGGCCTCGGGTTCTCTGCTGTTGGGTGGGGGGCAGCCCCCTCTGGGGTTTGCTGTGAAACCCACTGACCCTGCTTCTCTCCCTGCAGAGCCCTCGTACAGAGGGCGGATACTGCTGATCAGTGCAGGCGGCAGCCCTGGCTTGGGGGCAGAGCCGGTGCTGCCCCTGAAGGCCAGTCCTCGGGGGAGGTAGTGTGCACAATATGTCCAGCGCCCTAGACCCTAACCACAACCCGGGGCAGGGGGTGCTGCATGGGGGGCGGGGATCCAGGCAAGCCCAGGGGCCTGGGCTGAGCCCGGCTCACCAGTGACAATAAGCTCCGTGGACTGGCGTCACTGACGCCCGGTGTGGCCTGCTGGCTGCTTTGAGACTTTGGTGAAACTGCCAAACTTCATCCCGTTTGGTTGGCAAGCTCTTAAAGGGAGCCAGGGCTCAAGGGAGCTTTATCTCACAAGTTGCAGGGGTCACACTGGGTCCCGGCAGAAGCAGGACCCAGCCTGGGAAGGGACTCGCTTCTGTTTGCCAGACAAGGGCTTCACCTTTGGGTGCCAGAGAGAATGTCCTACGGACCCCCACTGCGCCATCTGCCCCAGGCTTCTCAGAAGGCCTGAATAAGGATACTGGATCATCTATTACAAAAGAAAAGACAAGGAAATTGTGCCCCAGAACATCACAGTGAACGAACGTACTCAGCTAAGAACAACCCTTCGTTGCTCGTCATGCTCCTAGCACAGAGTCATCGCGGGTATCAGCACCGCTCAGCTGTTTGGGTGTGAAGACGAGAAAATACCCCCAAACAAACGCCCTTGGTTCCTAAGTCTGTGTCCTTAGATGCCACCAAAGAAACATTTCTCCACAGGGGTTTTCCCCAGCTTTGCCAGACACATGGTTGCTTATTCCCCCTCGGAGGTTCCTCTACTCCCCCGCTCCAAGGAACACAAGATGTTCTTGCTGCATAGCACCAAGGAAAACCCAGCAAACTCCAGGCCCCACCAGTCAAGCTGTGTTGATGCTCGACAGTCTCTCCTTTCCCTGCTGGTCAGAAATGGTCTTAACGGTGTTAAGACGTGTCCTTCAGTTCTGGGCTTTGGGGCTGCTGCGGGGGCACCTCTGTGGAGGGGGACTGCATTTCCTGGGATCTGTCTGTGGAGAGAGCAATGGAGGCAAGTGCAGTGAAAAGCCCTGGAAAGCACAGTTCTCTGTCCACAAAAGGGTACAGCACAGTCCTCCCCACTCTCCTTTCCACCAGCCAACCCCCGCTCCCTGTAGCCCCCTGGCGGCCCCACTCCCAGCCTCAGCGAGACCCATTCCCTCCAGCTTCCCAGCCCCCAGCCAGCCCCACTGCTCACAGCCAGAGCCACTCCCCCAGGACTTTTGCCCACAGACAGCCCCATTCCCTCCAGATCCCCTGTCCTTGGGTGGCCGCACTGCCCCTGCCCCCCAGCTCATAGGCAGCCCCAGCAGTCCAGCCCACTCCCCCAGTACCCTTGTCCCGGGCCAGCCCCACTTCTCCCAGCCCCCGAGTGGCCCAACCCTCAGACCTTGAAGGGACCATATCCTTGGCTTATTCAGAGACTGCCAAGGGTGCCAAACGTATTGTTCAAGGCAGTGACCTCCCAGGAACTAGCCATCAGGCAAGACCCCCCTCGTGCTGGAACAGGGCGAAAAGCGCTAGGCAAAGGCTGTCTGTGTGCTCTGGCAGGGGCCGCATGCCGTGGCCATGGCACTGCTCGGTGTCAGCTCTTTGGGGCAGGGACCATCTGTCCGTTCTTTGTCTGTACAGCGCCTAGCACCATGCAGCCTGGTCTGTGACTAGGGCTCCCAAGCGCTGTGGTAACACAACTGATAAATAACGATACTCACACTAGAGAGATGCCTATCAGAGTAATAACACATAACAATCCCCATTGTTCCAGATGGGGAATTAGAGGCGCAGAGAGGAAGTGACGAGAGTCTCTCAGTTCCCTGCTGTAACCACTAGCCCATGCTTCTAGGCAGTGTGACCCTTCTGCAGGGCACACTTGCCCTCTGTCTCCAGTGGCCCAGTGGCCACAGGACCAGATTCTCTGGGGGACACAGGGCAGAGCAGGGCCCATCAGGCAGGGCCAGACCTGCTGTCTGGTACATACCTGAGCTTAGAGACATTTCAGCTAGTTTCAGAGGCAGGTCGGAGGGGCTGACGCCGGCCGGCGAGCCCAGAATGTCAGGGAGGGCGTTCCTGCGACCAGTCCTCCCGGAGGATGCAAAGTCCAGCACAGGCTCCACCTCAGTCATGCTTCGCCTAGAAGGCACACCCAGGTCAGGCTAGAATCTCCTGCTTCCCTATCCCACCCCAGGGGCCTGACTGGGGAGCTCAGAGCCTTGGGAGCAGAGCACATGGTGGGGAGAGGGACTGAAACCAGGATGGAGGCTAGGGTGACCAGACAGCAAGTGTGAAAAATCGGGATGGGGGTGGGGGGTAATCGGAGCCTATATAAGAAAAAGACCCCAAAATCGGGACTGTCCCTATAAAATCCGGACATCTGGTCACCCTAATGGAGGCAGAGAAATCCTGTCTTCCCCACACCCCCATGCCTAGGCTGGCCACCTGGCTGGGTTTGGTGCTGCCTTGCTGGTTGCTGGGGAAAAGATATAACGTGCTGGCTTTTTCCCCTTGGCTGGGACCAGCCCTCCCAGTCAGATGTGCACACGCCATTTTGTAACTACCACGCACGTCACGTCTGCGAGTGCGGCCGTACTATACCCAGCATCTACTGGCCCCATTCTGTGCTACATTTAACCTGGACCGTAAGCCTCTTGGGGGCAGGGATCATACTTTTACTTTAATCTGCACCACCAACGTCTAGGATTCTGTAGAAATACTTTGCATTGGCAGTGGGTTTTTTAAACACCCAGGTCCTCTTGGGGCTGCTGCGACAGGGGGAGGAGCAGGGTGGGGGAGGCAGTGGCTCCTGGGAGGGGACGGTACGGGGCGTCCTTGAGCTGGCAGTACCCCCAGCACCAGGCCTTGGCCTATCCAGGCCGTTTGTCTGTGACACTCACTCACTGGCCCTGGGAATGACTCCAGGACACGGGAGCTGGAGTGCAGAGCCCTGCCTGGCAGGGGCACTGGGGTGCAGTGACAGCAGCCATTGGGGCTGGCATCAGGGATTGCGCTGGGGAGCTCCAGAGGCAGGAGCCAGGGGATCCATAGCTTGAACTAAAGAGCCTGGCTCTGTAGCTGGGGTTACAACACATTTACCTCCTCTGTGACTCGGTACAGGAGGGGGTCAGGACTGAACGGTGTGTAACCTGGGCTTCTGATCTTTCCTGGTGGGACACTGACCTGGGTTTCCTCCCTACCCCATTTCCTGTCTTCAGTCGCTTTATGGGACAGGTGGTAGCAGAGCTGCCACCTGGCTGGTTTTTCTAGTGTCTTGCTGCTTTCTGGTCAGAAGTAAAATATGCTAGTGTTTTTGCTGGCTGATCTTAGCTACCGGCCACACATGGCCATAGGGGCTGGAACTCGGGGTGCTGGGGGGGCTGTCGCACCCCCTCGCTTGAAGTGGTTTCCATCCTATGCAGGGTTCAGTTTGGTTCAATGGCTCTCAGCCCCCCCACTGTACACACTGTGCCAGCCGCATGGCTGGGACCGCTGGCGCCCAGGTCCTGCTCTGCACGCCTGCAGCAGCCACCAGCTGTTGGGGAAGCCTAGCCCTAATCCTGCCTCGAATCCCTCCAAGCCTCAAGTAGGCCCTCCCTTTGGTTCCCCCCAGTCCTGGGTCCTGGCCCCACCCACAGACCAACCCTGCCTCCCCCGGAATGTGGCCCTGCCCACAGACCAGCCGGTTTTTCTGTGCCTTGGAGGTGACAGCCCTAGGACTCAGGGTGTGGTGCAGGTGCTCTGGGGGCAGGGACGGCATGGGAGCAGTCCAAGCTTTCCCCACGTGCTCTGCCAAAGTGCCTCATCCCTGGTGGGGGAAGAGGGCAGGTCAGCCTCGTGGCCCAGCCACTCCTCGGCCTCTCTGCTCAGACGCCCGACAAGTGGCCCAGCGAGTGCCAGTGGGGGGTGGTTTCGCTGATGGGGCCTCCTGCCCACAAGGAACTGAGCCAGCCCAGCTTGGCCTGGGACTTTTCTCTTTGGGTTTGGTTGGGCTGAAGGTTCTCGTGGGGTGTGCAGAGCCTCCAGGAGGGGAGTGGATGGGTCAGGGTGGACCAGGGCTCCTGGGCACCTTGTGTGCAAGCAGTCAGTTTCAGGGCAACCCTCTCTGCACTGTTGGAAAGGGCAATGGGAATAGGGCACCCACTGAACCAGGCTTCATCTCCCCTCTGGTTCTGCACCCTGCAGGTTTCCCTTGGGGGGAATCACAGCCTCCAGTTGACCGTCTCCAGCGACCCGCCATTGCCAGCAGCCCTGTCTCTGTCCTGGTGCATGGTACGTGGACGACACTCAGCCAAGCCTAGAGGGAACAGGAGCAGAGGCGCAGCCTTACCTGCAGCCTTCCAAAAGGGGCTGGCTCTGGCTCTCCGAGTTCCCAGGGACCCTGCTTGCCTGGGGTAGGCTCCCTGGGGCGGGGTCTCCCCCTCCAGACGTCCTCCAGCCTGGGGAGCGATTTCACCAAGAGAATCTGGGGCTCAGACCGGGGCTCGGTCCCAGCGTGACTGGCCTTTGCCCACAGAGCGACGCAGCACGGCCTGTGCAAAGAGAGAGTGAAACCCTCAGAGCCGTCCTGGGGATGCCCACGGGCAACCCAGCGGCAGCTCCCAGACAGAGCTGCCCCAATGTCCTCCAGAATTAACTCCCCCAGCTCCCGCAGCCTGGTCTCTCTCTACCATGCCCACATTCAAGGGGCAAGAAATGACTATTTCCTATAGGCTTCACATGCTATATAAGATCCTAGAACTGTTCCTGCAGTATAAACTCTGCACCCCCAGCCCTTTGGCAAGCATGAAGTGGGTTCCACCCAAATGGGCACTGGGTGCTAGCCACAGTGGGTCAATTTCTGTTCCCCGCAGGGGCGGCACTGGGGGGGACCTTGTAGCCACCCCTCCTAGCGCAAAGTTCAAACATTACGCATTCGTAAGGGGGGCATGGTACGGCATCTCCACCCTTACTTCTGTGCTGTAGCTGGCCCTGCCTTCAGAGCTGGGGGGCCGGAGAGCGGCGACTCTGGCCGGGTTCCCAGCTCTGAAGCCAGCAGCAGCACAGAAATAAGGGTGGCATGTGGAGCATGCAAAGGGGTGGGGACATGGAAATAACAACATACAAGGGAGGAAGCATGCAGGGAGAGAGACGGGGGTGCCTAAGGAAGGGGATCACAGATGGGGGAGGGGGATCACAGACAGGGGAAGGGGAGCATCAATAGGGGAGGGGGGATCACTGACGGGGGAGCATGCCTGGGGGAGGAAGATCACAGAGGGAAAGGTGGGGCTTGGTTAGGGGAGGGGGTCATAGAACAAGGGAAGAGGAACTTGCATGGGGAAGGGATCACAGTGGGGGGAAGCAGTATTGGGGAGGGGGGGATCACCAACAGGGTAAGGGGGGCATGGTTAGAGGAAGGGGGGCATGGATGAGGGGCAAAGAGCCCCGAACAGAGGAAGTGTGGGTGGGGGAGAAGTCCCGGACCATGCAAGGAGGGGACTGACACACGGTGGAGCGATAATGTGCAGCCTGGTGCAGGGCACTGCACGCCATGGGGGTGGCACAGGGACAGGGGTCCGCAGCCAAATTGGGAGTGCAGGGGATGCTGCTGCTGTGAGCAGGGCAGGCAGGCACCAGCGGACCCTGCAAAGGGTCTGGTCCTGCCGCTGTGGCTGTCCGCGGGCTGCTAGTGGCGGGCTCGCCAGGCGCTGAGCAGAGCTATGACGGGGGGCGGTGGGCAATGTGAGGGGTGCGGGGCTGACCTCAAGCCGAGGGTGGCTCCAGGGCCCTTCCCACAAAGAGGCAGTGAGGGGTCAGAGCCCTCCTGCTCCTCCCGGGCCCTGTGGGGGGGATAAGCGAGCCTCAGTGTTCCTGTATGTGTGCCCACGAGATGTATAGTGCAGTCCCCGTCCCCAGTTTTCTCTCTAGCCCACCACAGCCCCACCACCAGGAAGAGTCTGACACCGCCCTGGTTCCTCGTCCCCTAAATCTATTCAGATAACCGCAGCACCCCTGAAAATGACCACAGCACTGTCTTACCGTGACAGCCTCATCATGGGCACAGGCTGGGTCAGCAAGCCCCGAACTCACAGTGCCCCAGCATCCTGGGTGTTAAATGAAATCCAGAGGGAGGCCCAGCGCATTGTTTCCTTACGTGTGTGTGGTGTCTAGCACAATGGGCCCTGATTCCTAATGGGGCTATCTAGACACCCCACCAGACAAATAACAACGTGGGGCTCAAAACTCCTCTAGCCAAAGCTAATCACAGGGAGATGCACTCCCAGCTCACTGCCTTCACGGCCCCCCTGTTGAAGAGCATCAGGCTGCTAACTCGCTGCCAGGACCGGCTCTAGGCATCAGCAGAGTGGGCACGTGCTGGGGCCGGCACGTTTCCAGGGGCGGCGTTCCGGCCACCTTTTTTTTCGGGGCAGTTGCGCTCTCGGAGCTGCGCCACTTAGACGGGGCGAGGCCGCCGCGCCCCCGGCTGTAGCAGGACGGGGAAGCCCCAGCCCCGGGATGCTGAGCTGCCAGGGCCCAGCCGCTCCCTGGGGAGGAGAGGGCGAGTCCTGCCGGGGAGCCAGGGCTGCGCTGCCTCATCTGCGCACCAGCTGCTGCGCGGCCTTGTGCCACCCCTTAACTCGGGGCTTCTCTGCGCGGCCGGGCGGGGGAGTGGGAAAGCCCCTGCAGGCGCTGGGAGAAGGGGACCTCACTCCCGCCGCTTCCAGTGCCACCCGCGAGCCCCAGCCCCACCTGAGCGTGGGGCGGCAAAAATCCCAGAGCCAGCCCTGTGCACTGAGTGCTTTCTGGGCAGCGGGTGCTGGCCTCTGCTCCCCGGGGCAGGAATGGAAATATCGGCAACGGCCTTTCTGCCCAACGGCATTAATCTTCCCAAAGGCAAGCGCCCCGAGCAATACGGCGCAGCAGGACAAGCCTTTATGTCACATGCCCAATGTCGAGGGAAAGGCGAGACGGGGTCTGTGTTATTCTGGCTTCCCGCACCAACAACAGTGACAGTCCTAATCAGAGCCAGCCAGACTCACTGGGCTGCCGGCTGTTCCCCTTCCCATTCTCCAGGTAAGGAGTCTGAGGGAACGCCTACATTGCGATTAGATACCCGTGGCTGGCCCCTGCCAGCAGATTCAGGCTAAC